GTGGGCTAAGATCACGTGTAGGCTGATCACTTGTAGGCTCAGATCAAGTGTAGCATCAGTGTATTTAGTAGAAAATGTGGAGCCTAATCTATATTTATTGTTGGCAATTTTAATTAATTGCATGTGACTTGTAAACTTCTACAGGATTGAGTTAGCATGGGATGTTTTAATCAAATTTGATTTTACTTTTTCTCTATCAAAGTTATGAAGGTGGAGATTTTGAGAAAGCAGCTGAACTGTACAAGAGAGCCATGGAAATAAAAGAAGCAGAGACTTCGTTGATAGGAGGAAAAACTGCATCCCGACACTCATCCAGTGGAGACGCATTCAGTTTAAAAAGTGCATTATCACCAAATGTTTTCCTAGAACATGGACAGAGGTGATGCAAAAAGGCACAAAAAGAAACTGAATACTAACAGAGACAACCTTAAACAATGAGGAAATCAAAATTAGTTTAAGCAGCCTTTGGAGATGAAGGTGTTATTTGGTAAAAAACCATGACGACTGATAATATGAACACAAGGTTTAATTGAATTTATCTTCATTCATGCTGTTTTTGTGGACCATTGTACATGGAGTTGGTATCTTCTGTTACATATATGCCATTTGTGTTGCTTGTCAGATTAAGTGCGTGCATATCCCCAAACTCAAAACTTAGGCAGTATAGGCAGATCCAGGGCACACACCAGAAGCCCACACTGTCCTGATACTCTGAGCAAAGTGTTGGGTGATATTCAGGGCTGCTCCAAATCTCTCCAATGCTCTCCGAAACCATCTTTATTACTTAATTTGTGGTTTGGGCATGAATAGGGTTTATTTCTCTGTTGTGGTCCTGGGCTCGCTTGGGTGACTGTGTAGCCATAGCTTTAGGCTTAGATAGTAGCTACATCCCTAGTGGCAGAAATGGGGACCACGGAGGCAGTTCTGCAGTTTCTCCTGCAGGTAACAGGCTCTATCTGGGGGAGAGAGCTTCTTTCAGTAAGGAAATTCTTGCCTATGCAAGAGTTTCTGGTGCAGGAATGAGTGCCTGTATGCTTCGGCTGTTTTATTCCTGGAGACGAAGTGGAGCCAGGGAAAGGTTTCCTGTGTGTTCCCCAGGCCTGGCTGAACCCAGTCTGGGGAGCAGCTGCTGCTCCTTTCGTCTCAGGGACATGGAGGAACAGAGTGGCAAGGAAAAGCTCCCTGCCCCTTCCCTAGCTTGATGTCACCTCAATCCAGGTAGTGTGGGGAGTGGAGGCTATTCCAGTCTTCCCCAGGGACCAGGAGGAACAGAGCAGCACCCTTTAACCATGCTGGGGAAAGCAAAGGGAGAAGGAGATGCGGCAGCTGCAGGCTGGAACACCCATTTTCTCCCCTCTTGCTTCCCAGAAATTCACAATGGTAAAAATGAATGCTTGTCCATAGTCTTGCTTATTCAAACTGTGGCTGATACCAGAAAAATACCTCTTACTGCAAGTCGCGGGGTGCAGTCAATAAAACAGGTACTAGTTGTAGATAAGTCGTCTATTCCTATTTCCACACTTCAGCATTTATGCAGTTTGATTACTGTTGCTTTCTACCTCTTCAGGAGCAGTTTAAATTGTTGTAGATTCACAGTAATTTTGTGAGTCACTTTTGCCCAGAGGAGAATGCAAACCTTCATTTGTTGATATTTTGGTTTGAGGAAATGGTTCTCTTACCAGGAAACCTTTGAGTTTCTTTTTCTAAGATAGTTACTGGGAACACTAAGTTAGCCCACTGAGTCTTTTTTAAATGTCACATCCAGTTATTTTTAGTGAGAAACTACAGAGAAGATGAAGAGTTAATTGTAGATAAATATTTAAGTCAGTTTAATGAAACTGCTTACACTACAGCCTCCAGTATTTGAATATGTTTGTTATTAATCAGCAAGAGAATTAGGGAATATTTTATGCCCAGTGAACAACAGTAAATTAATAATCTTATGTTTGTGTGCATCCTTCTAAGCCAGATACCGTCATGGATCATTTTAAAGTTTCTTCCTGCTTATTTATGAATAAATACAGTAAATTAAATGGACTTTTTTTTTTAAAGATACGCACTTTTTTGGCGATTATTGGAATCCTTTGAAGCATCAGTATTATGTTTCACAAAGTCATAATCTGTGTGTTCACCTAAATTTAAGTAGCAGAGACTGATATCCAAGAAGGATATTGTCTTTTCCAAAAAATACACTTTTCCCTTTAAAATAGGCACTAAAATTTAACTAAACTTCCTTCAGCCCTGGTTCTAACTAGAAAGAGCATGCTATTTTAGGGTAGGATATAACTTGGAAAAGACAATTTTATGTAACTACAACTGAGTGTACAATATCAAAACTGCCATTACTGATTAAGATTTAGTTGGAAACCACAAGTGTGAAGTTATTGCAGCATCTCTAATAAAAATTGTGATCTATTATATTTCATATGTCTTTGCTATCAAAGCAGGATTTTTCTACCACATTTGTATTTCTTTATATATTTTGACCAATTTCTTTAGAAGACTTGTCTAATATAAACCGCCCCCCAAACCTGTTTTCCCAAAACCACAGCCTAAAATTATCTTCCTCCTTAGTCCCTGTATAATCATGTCTTTGGGTAGAATATTTATTAGGTATTGAATTGTCATGCATGATCTGTCTTTCTCCTCTGAACATTTTGTTCTCGGTTTGACATTATATTATGAACCAGCTTTTCACTTTTTCTTTTCTTTAAGATGTACAGTGCCATTTTAAAAGCTTTCCCATGGATTGAATTCCCAAACTTTTAGCTGTCACCACTTCCCTCTGAATGCACTCCAATCTGGTATCATTGTATGACTGTGTTAACAAGATTTAATTGGAGTGTTACTTTTCTAGAGATGGATAATCTACCCCTTAGGCAAATTAGCTCCAGCAACGTAGTTTGTGCATCATGTGCATAAAATGAGACGAACTGTATATCAGATAAGAGCCAAAATTGACGTAATTTATTAAATATTGTAACACTCGTGTACTGGAGAGCTCCACATCAAAACAGATTATCTCAGTGTATCGGCGCTAATTTAATAGGACAGTTCTATAGCAAGATCTAATTTCTCAGATTTACTGTTAAAATTGTAACACCTGATATTATATTTTGTACCTTTAAATAAATGAATAAAGTAAGACTAAAAGCTGTATATTCCTGCTTTGTCTAACATACTAAGTTGCTGGGAGGGGGGAAAAATCAGAAATGTCCATTAAAATCTTCCCACTTAATGAAAGTGCGTGGTTCTACTACACTAGTACATTAATTTTTTAAAAGAAATTGCAACTGTTAAAAAAGTTCCATTGCACATCAAAAATAGAATCAAAGACCCTTCTAGACTTTAATTAGCTTTAAATACTGGTATGCAATTCCCTTCAAAATGTCTTTTAAACATTATAATCCTACCTAATACTGTTGCAATTTGAAAGAGGCAAATAAGAGGTAAATGTATTAACAGAAAGTTTTATGTACACTGAATAAATAACGAGTCATTTGTTGTGTATTAATTAGTTACTTCATAAATCTGTGTATGTGATATAACGTAATATTTGGCCTGTATAAAGGTGTCAGCCATGTGGGTAGCAGCTGAATGCTGACCAAATCATTCCCATTTCCTTTTGGCAGATGCAATTAAGAATCTTGCTGGAAATTAGCTTCAGCATCAAGTATGTGCCCAGTTTTCATTCTTCAAGACAAAAGCCCCTGTACATGTGTGATTTCCGCCCCCCGCTCCAGCAACCACTTCTCAGTTTTGGTTTTGGCCTTTCCCAAAGGGAATGCAAGCTAATTTAATCTTCCAGTTATACACAGGGCCAACAAAAACCTATTGTTTTCAAAAGGGGCTGCTAACAAGTTACCTTAACCTACTATAATTTATAAAGGAAAACAAACAGGTTTTGAAGTTTACAACTGTTGCCTCTTTGTATTCACTGCAAGCAGGAACATATATTTAGATTCAAGTACTGCATCCTATTAATGCTTAAGAGACAATTTGTAAGAATGGTACTTCAGCACTGAGTTTAACTTGCAGAACAGTACCAACACTATCAAACATGCAGACATGAAGGATAATTTGCACCGATTTGCTATTGAAGACATGAAAGTTCAAAATTATTGTACTGTATTAACTTTGCGTTATTTGTAAAGTAAGTAGCATCTTAAACTGAGTGACTTGCAGCCCTAAAATTGGACCCTGTTAATTGGGTTTAGAATCAAGTTTTGCATATACAAGCTTGGGTTAGGTATTATTCTAAAATCAACTACTACTGTTAGATTAAATTAACTTGTATAGGGTAACAAAAAAGAGTTTTGACAGTTCCTGTACAAAGTTTTTTCAGCAACTAATCACAAGGATTTAACATGTAAACACATGGCTGTCAGCTGTAGTTATGACCAAATAAGACATCTGTTTTGGTTTGTTAGGTCAGGAACCTAACAACAAACTTACCGAACAAACACATGCTTAAAGCACACTCTCAAACAAAAAGTGTACACGTTTTAGAATAAATGAAGATATTATACAAACTGACAAAACCCAGGAGATGGATACTCTATCCTTCAAATTGTTTAAGTAAAATTTAAGGCTCAAAAACATGTACAGCAAAGTCGTAATGAGAACAGAGACTACACAGGTCATTAAACAGCAGCCAGTTGGACATTTACAACTATGGTTTATTGGACTTGGATTTGAACTTGGCAACATGACAGACTTATCTGCCCTAAGCCACTTGATTTACCCAAGGTTACTCCATCTCCAAATAGTCCAGGTAGCAAAGTATATTTTTATGGGTACTATACTTAACATTGTTTTTGTCAGTTCATCTACCACCTTTAATTTTCTGTTGTGGATCTGGATTCTGACACGGCTGAGACATAACAGCTAATAAGAGCACAACTTTTAACATCAAACGCAAGTGGACAGTAGAATATAAATATAGAAAACTGAGATAGTGTTATCTGTGTCAGTAAGACAGACAGCACTTTTACCATAAATTCAAGTTTTAAAACTGTTCTCATAGGAGTTTAATTTCCTCAAATATATCTTGCAATATTTCTTGATCTCTCAAGGTCCAAAACATCCAATTTGATATTTCTTTTATCTATATGTTCTTCATTTTGGCCATGAGTTCTTCCAGGCTTTCCTCTGATTCTGCCACTGTTTCCTCAGCTACAGCATTCTCTTCCTATTGGCAAAAGGGGAAAAAATAAAATGAGGTTTAATTTGTATCTTGGTTTTTTTTTTCCAGATCCAAGGATTTCAGAGTACAAACTGGAAGATTAAACCTAAAATCATTCACAGTTGTGTGGCTGATTAGAGTTCATCAGTGGACTACCATTCCAATTAGGATTTACGATAAAGCTGTTAAATACCAGTTCTAAATTCATTCCTAAATTTGGTTGTAATCTGACTACCATCTTTCTTTCAACAGAAAAAAATATTATGAAAAAGGTGTTTGGAATGTAAAAAAACCTGGAAAATTCTTGTTTAAACTTCAACACAAATTGACATAAAAACAAATTCTCAGGCTCCTTAAAACTAGCTTCAAATTATTCCAAGTTTCATAAATGTTTATTGTACAAAAAGTGGTATAAAATAGGGCAGCCAACATTACCATATTAGGTATGGTATATGCTACAGTAATTCCCTCTGGAAGGTTGGGGATTGGACCAGAAGCAGCTTGCAGTTCCTCTTCTGAAACTTCTGATACCAACTCAATGCCTAAGTAGTAAAAAGAAGTTTTGTCAGTTTTCCTTTCATTAAAAGTATAATACTTAGAAAGTAACAATTTCAAAGTATGCATATGTTTAATTCTTTGATGAAATGTGTTTTTGGTTTCAGCATAGCAATGCTCTTAAATCCAGCCCTTGAGGGAAATAAAAATTTATCTGAGATGTCCTTAGTGGGGTAGAGAGACAGGGAGTTAATGGATGCTCATTCAGGCTCATTCTTTAAAGAAGGGACACCCAAGTAAATTTAAATGCAAGACATTTTTCCTCTAAAAGGTATAAAATCTAATAAATATTTTCAAAAGTTTAAAAGAAAAATGTGAAAAAAATATTAACATTCTTCTGCAATCCATGGTGTTCAGATTTGAAGATTTTAACTGAAGGCTGACACTGCCAGTATCTATTTGTTTTCAAGTCAATCTCTTACCCCAGTCATTGTCTTCATGTACTATTTCTTCTTCTTGTTCAATTACTACTTGTTTTGGTTGTAGAGCTTCTTTTTTCTGAAGAGATGAAAGAAAGAAAGAGACCCATGAATCTGCAGTTGCTATTTTTGTTACGTAGTTGAGAGAGGAGTGCTAAAGCAAGCTAACAATGTTATTTAAATGGGTTACTTTATGGACATTTAGAAAATGTTTACGGATTAAAAAAATGGACTCTCCTTTTTACTTTTGGAGAAAATGCTGCTTTGAAGATTCAGTATCTATACCCTTCAATTATGGGTGAAAGGAGCCACAGTATGCATGAGACAGTATCAGGGAAGACCAAAGTTCACTTTTGTGAGTATGAATTTGACCTCCAATTGATTGGGCTTATTTTTTGTTTAAAAAGAAAATAGGCAAGTACAGGCAGAATTTTAATAAAAAAATGTTAACATCTTTAGAAACAAAATTTAGAATATTATAGAGTTGCTTTGCAAGCCCAAGACCTAAATGATTGCAGAGAAAAATTATTTTGGGGACTAAGGTTTGCCAAGCTACTTTTCACTTTGACATGACCTGAAACCGTTTGCAGAATGTGCATTATGAGAAAAGACTAACATTACCAGTTTTCAGCATTTGATTAGATATTCAGCATGCATTAAGCTTTTTATTAAAAATCCTTCCAAAATAAGAATTTTACCTTATATATTTCCTGCTGTTTCCTGCAATTTTTGTCACTGCACTGTGGGTTTGGCTTCATTGCCATAGTGGGAAAGAAATCTTGCATTGCATTGTAACCAAGATAGTAACTCACAGTACCAAAATTTAATAGATACCTAGGAAAAGCAAATTAATAGGCATAGTTTGGTTTACAGATTCAAACATAAGTGTGTTTTTCCAGATGTCATCTTTAAAATACATTTGTACCAACAACTGTAGACAGGTTGTGACACTGAATGTTTGGTATTTGGGTTTAAGCAAGCTGTACTACTCCAGAATTTATGTATCAGAGCCTCTGATAGTGTAAACTGGCACTCCTTAGTTGATGCTAATGAACACATGCTGATGCATACACCTGTTCCTTTGTGTCTGTATAGGGATTTTTATTTCATTACAACCAAAAAAGCTATATTTAGAGTGAAAGCTTCCTCTCCACCCCACTTCAGTCTTAACACCTATTATTTTTAAGAGAGAATTTTCAAAGGCCAGGCGGAGTGTGTGGAAAGCAGCTGGGAGCCTGAGCCCCATGCCCTGGGGCAGGAGCCGCCTAGCTGAAGACTCCTCCCACTTAAGAGTGGCATGGCAGGGGCAGGGGCAGCTGCCACTGCTGGAGATGAAAGGAGCTGAGCAGCACCTGGGCGGCTGCAGCTGCATCACAAGTGGCCCTACTGGTTAAGTGTGCATACTGGCTGGGAGAGCAATGCAGGCTGCACCACCTGGGCAGAAGCACAGGAGGCTCAGCTCCACGCGGAGTATTGTGGGGACAGTTGTGGGCTACATCGTCCAGGCAACCTCTGCTGCATAAACCCCAGGGCTCCTCCCTTTCCCTACCTCCCCAGCTAGCTCCCAGGACCTAATGCCCAGGCAGTGCCTCTTCCCCAACACCTGGCAGGGGCATGCAGGGAGTGGATCACACACTGCCCCAGCTGCACACGTCCCTGCCTGCAGAACTGGGGTCTGTCCCAGCTCCAGCCACATGCTGTCGCCATCCTGAGATCCTGGGGTCTCCATGGAGACTGGCCTGGAGCCGCGCAAGCAGGGTGTGCAGCTGGGGGGTGGGCAGGAAGCTGCATATGGGCCTGGATCTTGGGGCAGTGACAACGCAGGCCTGGGCCTAGGGCAGAACAGTGATTCACTCCCTACAGGCCCCTGCCCATGGAACCCATGGCAGTCACAGGGGCATGTGGGTAGTAGGATCACGGCTCTGCCCCAGGCCTTGTGCTGTCACTGCCCTGCACCACGATCCTGGCCTCGCCCAACTTCCCTGCTCCCCACCTACCCACACCCCCATCCCACACAGGGAGTTCTGGCAAGTTGTCGGGGGGAAGGGAGATGGGTTGCTGATCCAGCCTGCAACAACTCATCAAAACACCCTATTTGTGGCCCCTGGGCCCAAATAATTGCCCACCCCCCCAAGCTAAAAGTTTCTGGACAATCATCACCAAAATAAAGTTAGTCTAGAATTCAATAAAATTTAATGAAGAACTTGACTTATTCCAGCCAACCTGATGCAATTTCATAGCCTGTCTATCTGCATTTAACAAGAAAATTTTGAATGCTGTACCCAAATGATTCCAAAATTTTAACAGAAGTTCTAAGCATCAGGGGGTAGAATTCTATCAAATTTTGGTGAAAACAGAAGCGGGGAGACGCTGCGGCCCCCCGACCCCCGGTGGTTAGCATGCTTGTAGACTTCAACCAGAGCCGCAAGGATTTTTAATTCAAAAGTACTAGCAGATTTAGAATCACATCCCCATACTGCATCAGCTATGACCATCAAACAAGTAGCATTAAGAGTATGTCTATATGGCACAACGTACAGGTTTCCCTTACCAACCATTAGGGTTAGGTTCCTGAAAATTCCTGTGGTTGGCAAGACAAAAGGCTTGTGGGAAAAATGGCAGGTGGCGGGCTGATGTGTGGCCACAGAAAACCAGGGTTACTCAAAACTGTATACTGTAATAGCCAAAATGGTATACAGAATATTACTCAATGGGATACTCAAAACCATGAGTTTTGAGGGAAACCTGGATGACAATCTCCATGCAGAGATAAATAAGCAAGCTCTGGAATGGGAAGCAATATACTGCCACATTAATTAGGAGTGGTGCACCAATACAGCTATGTAGCGCTTCCAGAATGCATGTTTACTTGTTCAGAGGTAGCTCACTTTCCCTACACAGCACCAACTTTTGCTTAGTCATGTGCTATCTGACTTGCATTCCAGACAAAAAGGAAGAAAAGATAATGATGTGGGGAATGAGTGCATACCAAGAGCCTTGACATGAGAATAAAATGTTTTGACAGGAGAATGTAGGATCTTGGCATGGGTAAAGGTGGTGAGTTTGGTAGGAGTCCTTGAATTAGAGGGGATGGGATAGTTGCACTTAAGGAACTCTGCTGGGTTAGCAGGGTCTACAAAAGCCCTTAGTGTGTGAATGATCTTGGCCTATTGCAGCAGCAAAGCATTCAACCTTTCAGTCAGCATGTGAATGACTGGAGGATGGAGGGGGGATAAACTCCAGAAGACAGAAATACCAAAATCATGTACACAAAATAGTTCAAGATTTTACATAAAGATATCTGCAGTTCTTTTGACAGCTGGAGTTATAAAATGCCAACTGGTTAAAAAAACAAACAAACAAACAAAAAACCCCAAAACCCCATAAACTATAAAATAAAAATATTTGATTCAAGTATTTTTCTTTGATTTTTGTTCTTCATTTTGACTTGAACAACCATGCTGTGATGTTCTTTAGGTTTTTACATTTCCTTTGCAGACAGAAGAGAATATTCTATATAGTCTATTAAAAATAGTAGCTCCAAAACAAAGAGCTCAGTGACTCAGACTGCCTTCTTC